GCGGAGAAATAAAACTAATTTGCAAAGGCCGTTTATTTTATATAAAAAGCGGTCAACTGAAATATCAAAGCAAATCTATAAATCATTTTAAATTATTAATTAACAACTAACTTAGGATTGTATGACAAAAGCATTTCCTTTTCCAATGGCAGCGCCAGGAACGGGGCTTAAAACTAAAAAAATTGCTTGGGTAGGGAGAGGCGGTACAAAGGAATAGTTGCTGGTACAAAACGAGGAAGAATCGTCGCTGACAACGTTAAGAGCTAAATTAAGTCTATGACCTATTTATTTACTTAAATACGCTTGACGCCACAGAGCCACCGTCGCTAAATCATCATCATCATCGCCGCCGTCGCCAGTCGCCAAGCATCATCGCAATCACTTTAGCATCATCGTCCTTAGTACTTTGAGGAGTGAGTTTCGTTACCATCTCTGCATTTCTTGTTCATGTTCTTGATTATTTTCCTTGTCTAAGCGGAGGAGGAGGAGGGTCCGGCGGGCTCGTCTCCCTTAACGGCCGACGCATAAGAGCCGCCCGGTTTGTCGCCACCGCCACCGGGAACAGGAGCCACCGACTTGCCATCGCCTCCACTCCCTCCGGCGCCTGCACCGCCTGCACCACCGGGCGGAACGCCGGCTGCTCCGCCGATGCTCACGCCACTGTTTAGGCCTAGAGTTTGAGGTGAATCAACTAGAGAATTTGTTTCGATTGTGGGTTTGGTTGGGATGTGTGTGAGTGTGGAGTGTGTGCGAGAAGCGAACTGTTTAAGCACCTTTGATATCCATGGCGTAGTGGTCCTCCAGCCGCAGGTCGTGCCTCTTTATCAGCTGGCACTCTGCGCCCTCGACGGTGGGAATAGAGTACACGTAAAGGTACCCATCCTGCGAGGCAATCAGCAGTCTGCAAAACAAAAAAGAAAGAAAATTATTATCAGGGCGTTCCACTGTAGAACATGCCAATTTGGACTTGATTATTATCAATATGAGTACTAGTTAGTTGCTAATTTCAAAATATAAGCTAGCTTTATATAAATAAAAGATATTGTAGAGTAAACTTATTTTTAGGCGGTATTTACTTTGCTTCGTCGTTATCGAATCTATACAACTAGAGCAAATGTAAATCATTTTTCGATCCACATAAGATTGAAAATTCGTTTAAACTTTATTTTTAAGAAATACAAAGAAGTATAGCAGCTAGCTTTTCCAAAAAATCCCTCATAAACGGAAAACAATAGGTGGTATACAGATAAATACTTTTCCTAGAAATTGGGTAAAGGCACTTCTCAAAAATCTTCCTAGGTAAATTTTACAACATTTTATTATAACTACAAAAGTTAACAATTCTGAAAATAAGGGAATAAGTGTGGAAGTAGGTAGAATTTTTTGGTAACTTTCCACTTGGACTGAGAATAATACTGTGCAAATTACCTGAAGACCGAACATCGATCCAAAACTCACCTTTGCTGCTTCTGTATCGTGGTAATGGCGCACATCCTGCGCACTCCCGCCTCCGGCAAAGTGACCGAGGCAAAGGCCCGGCCCTGGCTAAACACGTCGGTCACCTGCGTGGGCAGGTAGCTGGTGACCGTTTTGCTCAAGAATCTAAAAAACGAGTAACTTGCATGAGAGAGTAGATTTGGTGAGTGGTTGAGTTGTGGTTGTTGTTGTTGAGGTGGTTGGTTGGTTCGTGTTTGGTGGTTTCGCAAAATGAAAGAAAAGAAAAATAGATAAATGTCAAGTGCCACACGAGAAATAGAAGGAAATCAAAAACTTATAAGCCCTATTGAAAATATACTCAAATTTATACCCGTTTTAAAAATCGTTTTTAGCAAACTGATGTTTCTTGGAGATATTTTACCATCCGCATTTTAAGATTCCTGTTATTGCTAGTATACCTGTTTAATTTTCTGTTTTTTTTTAAATATTCAAGTATTTAAAATCGGTTTGGTTGAGAAAACTAGATTTTGAAAGCGAATTTAATTATAGTAAATATTAAAAAAAATAATTTGGATATGAATATAAAATGATTTTAATATGAAACTTAGTAAGTGGGTACATATGCAAAAATATATAAATGTATAGAAATATGCAATATCCAATTTTTATTTTGATATAATGTTAATCCAAAAATTTCAAATTTTGAGAACATACAAAAATGATTTTCAACGAAAATGAACAAAAGCCATGGACGATGAGAGTGGATGGGTTCAGATAGAAATGGTTCGGGAGAAAACAGCTATTATGTACAGAACACCCACACCTTAGGAATTGACCTTTAGCCATTACCGCACACTACAGTAAATACAACTATCTAAAAAGCTATAAAAGAGAAGTTGAGTTATCAGAATCCAACACCGCTTACCCCATCCAGTCATCGCTCGATTGCTTTCCGCCGTGGCCCTCGGCCGTCTCTGTGGCACTGCGATCCAGCCGGAAAATGTGCACCGTCTCCGTGTTGGAGCTCGACACCAGATACTCGGCGCATGTGCTGAACGACAGCGAAACAATGGACACACAGCGCTTGAGTCCACGCCGCAGTTCAAAAAGCCGACTACCATCCTGAGAACTGAAGACTCGGATCACCGTGCCACGTTCGCTGGCTGTGGCGATCTCCGTGCCCGAGGGACTAAAGGCCAAAGCCGCCAGCGGTGTGTCATGGGCGGGAATCATGGTCTTGGCGTTCAAGTTAATGGCATCAAAGATCTGCACCTCGCCGGAGGTCACGCTGCCCGGATAGGCCAGATAGCAGTGCTCTGAGGACGAGGAGAGGGCGCACAAACCTTGTTGATTGCTCGGCGTATCGCGGATGGTGTGCACCACCTTCATGTCCTGGATGTTGTGGATGTACAGCGACTCCTCTAGGCAGACTATAAGCCGCTCTCGATTGAGCTTCACCGCCAGAATTGTGTTCGCATAGGAGTAGTTGCAGATCTCGCTCTGCTTCTTGAAGTGACACACCTTCAGCTTTCGAGGAGCTCTCTGGGAAACGATGGCCACCAGCGAGCTCTCGAACAGGCGCTCGATGAGGAACAACTCGTCGCTTTTCGTGTGGTAGATCTTGTCCAGCGTCGAGTCCACGGAGCCGAGGCTGTACAGACTGTAGCCGCCACTAGTGGCCACGGCCAGCGAACTGTAAGGGCGTTCAATGTGATTAGGTTCAGAAGTATTAAGTGAAGCTAATAAAATAATCATTTCGCTATAAAAAAAATTATGGGTCACAGGGAAGTGCACTAATCTAAAATATATTGGCTTACTGAAGGTGTAATCCAATTATTCTTCGACTTTAAAATGTATATTTGATTTTGGCATAGCTGCTGTTATCAATTTAAAAACAAACCAGTACAATTGTTTTTAATCTATATAGTAATAAATAATTGAACCAGATATAAGTAAAAATTAATATTAATCTGCCTTGCTCCATTTTTTTTTTTTTTTTAGAATGTTGATAAGGCCCCCTAAAGGGATCTTACGGTGTGCTTTACTTAACTGTTATCTATTATCTACATACCTATCTATTATAATGTATTACTCAAAACAATATTGACTTGCCTCAAATAAAGGTGATCGCGGTTTTAACTTCAAATACAATTTTATGCGTCTATCTAATTTATACATTTTAAAAATTTATCGAATATAAAATAATTTGTAATATTCTGCTAAATTTGTAATCATGTATACAAAATCAAACTTCGATTCTGGAGTCTGTATATAATCCTGGATAAAATGATTATTTTGTGAGAAACAAAGTATATACTTATTTATGGTGTTTTAATACAAAAAAATGCAGTATATATTAACGATATTAATTTTTGGTACATAATTAACTTGTGATTTCGGCAACACATCCTGTAGACACCTATAATCCTTTCCCCTTAAACTGATTCTTTTCAGCAACACTCTTATCGAATGACAACTGTAATAAGGGACTTACGTTATGTTCTGGTTGAAATTGACGAACACTTCGCCCGCATCCACGTCCGGGCGCCCGAGCAAGCTCATCATGGTGGCTGTGTGGGAGGGGCTGGGGTCCTGCAACAGATTGGGCTTAATTCGTTAGATATATTAACTATTTGGGGATACTTTCCGATGGCGCATTACAGAATGGCGAAAGGTGCAAACAAAGCGTGGGCCAAAGTAATAAATGTATATGTACATATGTTAATAAATACAATAACAAACTATGCACACGCGCGTGTGTGTGAATGTGTGTACACTTTTTGGGGCTGCTGATAAAACCAACAACAACAAACAAAACACACACTCACACTTGCGAAATATACGTGACGGGGAATCGTTTATTTTTACCTCTTTGTAATGCTAACACCTCTGTTTCGAACTTTTTAATATTCGCAGGACACCTTTGTCGACTAGTTGTTGGCTGAAAGACGTTTACTTAACTGAAGCTATGTAATATTTAATGATATTTGGATTTCTTGTCGCGCAATTGTTTTTGCTCTGTTTTGCACACACACACACCAGCACCCACACTTAGACAAGGTGGACAGCAACAGAGCGAACCAGGGATGCCGAATAGAACGGAGTGCAGAGCTGCACTCGGTAGTGTTGGAAAGCGACTGGCGTACTCTTCGAGCTAGTTAAATAAGTTTATAATATATTTAAAATTTAAAAAGAATTTCACCTAATATTCTTAAAAAATTTTCCAAAAATAATTTCAAATCAAAGTACAAAATATCAAGTGATTTAGGGGCGACCTAAAAATTCTGGTGCTTAGAACAATGTTACTACAAAGTACGGTATTAGTGTTTAAAATACATAGACTTTTAAAAGTTATAAGCTATTAGGCACATTTATATATTTAATAGGGTCTTCCTTAGTTTTATCTATAAGTTTGTTTTGCAAAATGTAAATAATAAGTTAAATAATTTTAATTATATATTTAAATGGAATATTTTATTAAATAGCTTATAAATTTTAAGACCGATGACAGGGAACCAAGCCACCGATTCATGAACACGAACCAGCAGCATCGCCATCCCTGGCGAGGTAGTCTAGTGACTTCCAGCCCTCGTCCGTTCTGGTTCACAAAAAAAATAAAATTACATTTCAATCTTTCCAATATGCAAATATCTGTGCGAAATCCAGCGGAAACAGGATGCGGACAATAGAAAGCGTTCAAAAAACGTGACGTGTGCCTGTGCAAAAAAACATTTCGTGCCTTGACTTAGTGCTTAATCCCAATCCAGACGCATAAAATCGATGCAGATGCTGCCTGCATCGCTCGCACATTCTTATGGAAAGTGCATTAAATTGGTCGTCAGAAGCCACGATGTCAGTTATAAATGCTGTGAAAACGTATAATAAATAAACACGAAAGACTCGAATTTCGAAAGATGCAGACAAACGAAAACAATAGTAGTAACAATAACAAGGTGCTCGAATCGGACCAAAATAAATACATACATACAGACGGTAGAGCAGGCCGATATGTATTGACGTCGCCGCGCTGAAGTAGAGCTGATTACACAAAAGATCCTCTAAACTATTTTATGTAAGTATGTAAACAGATAGGGACAGGCCCACCTTGGGCTGTAATCGCCTGGCTTCGGGCTACCCAGCGGCTGATAAGGAAAGAGTGCCTATGCTTATCTTTCATCTGCAACCTGGCTGATGTCGTCCGCCGTCTGTCTACCTAATATACCACTACTGCCCCCCATTGTCTTTGCCAGCGCGCGTTTTATACCCTTTAGTGGAGTCGTTGTCGTTCTGATCGGGACTTTGCTACACACTAGGTTTTGGATTTACAAAATATGCATTTCAATATAAAATTTCCTTTTGAATAAGGTCTGTGATAGTTGCATTGACTTTATCTTACGGAATAGAAATATATGACTATTTGACTATAAAAATTTCAACCGAATATTTTTAAACATTACAAATTTTTTATTAAAATAACATCATTAAACATTATGATGCAAATAAAGAAAACCATAACCGGTCACTTCCCAATATTGATGTCATATTAGTTTCTAAAAGGTAAAACATTGAAAATTAAAATTTAAATTTTTATAAAAAATATCTAAAATCTGAAGAACTCAACGTATGAACTTAAAATTAGCTTATTGCAACGATTACAAATTTAAACAAGCTTGACAAAATCTTTTATTACGATTGATCAAAAATACACATAGAGCAACGTCCTTCCTTTTCAACAACCCAGCCAATATTATAGCAATCCCTTCCACGAAAACATCTGAAATCATTTAATTTCTTCAAAAAGCTCAACTCATTCATACAAAATAAAATTGCTTAAAAAAAATATTACTGACATCCTAAGCGAGCGGAATTTTTGCTAATTGATAATTAATTATTATGCTTAGAGTTTTAAAGCTTAAGTTAGCTTTATATAAATAAATAAATTAAAAATGTTTAAAATAACATAAATTAATTGAATTTTTATCAACAATATCTGAAGATAACTTAAGATAATTAGAACTAACATTTCTGAGTAAATTGAAGGGTATTTGATTTTTGATGTTCTGAATGTTCGGCTTTTAAATGTATTTCGCTTCTGCCTAATCAATGTCAGCACTGTGCGTCGTGATTTGTAGTACCGTTAGCTGGAAGGTACTCCACGCACAGTACCGTTATCGCACTACCAGTACGCTGTTCGGTTTGTTAAGTTCAGTTCTGTTCCGTACTTTTCCACGACCACCGATGAAGTTCTACGCGGGAGAAGGGTACGACTACGACTTTTGGATGAATATACTCTGGATTGGGGATCGCAACCCAGTGCACTATGTTTACTGTTGTTTTTGCTTAGGCGGGGCTTAATTACAATTACATTTTGCATTCATTAAGCATTCAGCGACCAAGTTTTGTGCGACTAGCCGTCATAGTAGAGCAAAGTCGGAAATCATTGATAAGTGCTGATAATAACTGTAATTTTAAACTAACCCTCTTTTGTGGCAATGCTTACCACTGTGCAATGTGTACTATTTGACATTTAGCAAAAGCGATCCCTATCGCGGTGAGTTGGCGAATTTGAACGTGTTTCCCACATTTTTAACCCTTTAGTTCTAAATATGTCACTGATTTTTGGGGTAAAAAAATGCAAAGAGCGTGCAATGAATTTGATGTTGCGATATTAAAGGTATATATACCTATTCCATTCTTAAGTATTAAAGTCTTAATGCTTTTGCTTGTACTTAAAAACCTTTTTTTAGTTTAGCATGAAGAATGGTTCTAGACCTCAGGGGTTTGGGTGGTAATACAAACTTATAGATCTCGTTTAAATAAGTGTGTTTATTTAATGTAACCTTACCCACTTTTTTCTTCGACAGTCAAGGCTCGAATATGTCCGACGGCGTCGGTATCTTGCACATCAAGCAGGAGGTGGACACTTCTTCAGCGGGCGGCGGAGCCTCCTGCTTCAGTCCCACTTCCAAGTCAACGGCCCAACAAAGTGGTACAAACGGCATGAAGTCCTCACCCTCGGTTTCACCCGAGAGACAGCTCTGCAGCTCGACAACCTCCCTTTCCTGCGATCTGCATAACGTATCCCTCAGCAACGATGGCGATAGTCTTAAGGGCGGCGGAGCGGGCAGCGGCACCAGTGGCGGAGGAGGAGGTGGTGGTACCAGTGGAGGTAATGCTAGCAATGCGAGTGCTGGAACAGGATCCGGATCCGTAAGGGATGAGCTTCGCCGGTTGTGTCTAGTTTGTGGGGATGTGGCCAGTGGATTCCACTATGGCGTGGCCAGCTGCGAGGCCTGCAAAGCATTCTTCAAACGCACCATCCAGGGCAACATCGAGTACACTTGCCCGGCAAACAACGAGTGCGAGATTAACAAGCGGAGGCGCAAGGCCTGTCAGGCGTGTCGCTTCCAAAAGTGCCTGCTAATGGGCATGCTCAAGGTAAGATCTGATTCCCAAGATGGAACTATTAAGTACTTATTGCTTCTTAAATTCTTCTAAATCAGGAGGGCGTGCGTTTGGATCGAGTGCGTGGTGGGCGGCAGAAGTACCGACGGAATCCCGTCTCAAACTCTTACCAGACCATGCAGCTGCTCTACCAATCCAACACCACCTCGCTGTGCGATGTAAAAATCCTGGAGGTGCTCAACTCCTACGAACCGGATGCTTTGAGCGTCCAAACGCCGCCACCGCAAGTACACACGACTACCATTGCGAATGATGAGGCGTCCTCCTCTTCGGGCAGTATCAAACTTGAGTCCAACGTTGGAGTCACGCCCAATGGCACTTGCATTTTCCAGAACAACAATAACAATGACCCCAATGAGATACTAAGCGTTTTGAGCGATATTTACGATAAGGAGCTAGTGAGCGTGATTGGTTGGGCCAAACAGATACCTGGCTTTATAGAGCTACCCCTTAACGACCAGATGAAGTTGCTCCAGGTGTCTTGGGCGGAGATCCTAACCCTTCAGCTGACCTTCCGTTCACTGCCGTTTAATGGCAAACTGTGCTTCGCCACGGATGTCTGGATGGATGAGCTATTAGCCAAGGAGTGCGGCTACACTGAGTTCTACTACCACTGTGTGCAGATCGCGCAACGCATGGAGAGGATTTCGCCACGAAGGGAGGAGTACTACTTGCTAAAGGCGCTGCTTCTGGCCAACTGCGACATTCTGCTGGATGACCAGAGTTCACTACGCGCCTTTCGCGATACGATTCTAAATTCCCTTAACGACGTTGTCTATTTGCTGCGTCATTCTTCGGCGGTATCGCATCAGCAACAGTTGCTACTGCTGCTGCCTTCGCTGCGACAGGCGGATGACATCCTGCGGCGCTTCTGGCGAGGAATCGCACGGGATGAGGTAATCACCATGAAGAAACTTTTTCTCGAGATGCTCGAGCCGCTGGCCAGGTGAAACAAATTATGCGGACGGCCAATCTAGTTGATCTAGCTGATTAGCAAAGGTGCAAATATAGTCTTAAGTTGGACGTATACTGGCGTAGATTAAGCGTAGGATAAGCCATGTACATAGATAGTAAAATACTTGTCGGGTTAGATTAGTTTGCAGAGAAAAACCTCTTTTTAATGGCCTACCAATTACAGCAACTCAAAAACCTACTTAAGCCTAGAATCGGGGCGTGTTAACACTGGATAAAGGCGCATACAGGTGTTTTTTGTCCACCACGAATTGTAAATGAGTCACAGTTCTCCAATAATTTGTTCAAATTAATTCTCACTGGTTTTGATATGCTATTCATAACCTTCTGATGAAATTCGGGCTCATTTCTACTTTGTAGAAAATTTATTACGAACGATTATACGGTTTTTTAGTTGCATATGCCCCAGTGATTTTGTTGTTTATGTGGTGCACATGCGGTCAAACAAAATAGCACTTTAGAGACTTATACAATAAAATAATTAAATTACTAATGTTTGTAAAGACCTAAAACAGTTTCCTTTAGTTAAGTCTTTTGTGGAATTCCTTTATAATTCTCAGAATTTTAGTTTTCGTTTGGGTTTTCTCGTTAGGCTCTACTTGTCTGTTCAGAAAAGTTAATGTTATTTTAGATGGTTTAAATGTGATTCAATAAATGTGAATTTATTCAACACTTCAAATGATATTCCCTAATTTCAGTGCTATAAATTTGATCGCATTTGTACACCATTGGCTCCCAGTTTCTTACAACAAACCCTACGTTCAAAACTTCACAAAAAGAACCATGCTCATGACCTTAAAAATTTCGCGTGGTCCTAAAGGCTTACAATTAGTGCTATCGATGGTCATATTTACATTTGCAGACTAGAGACTTTGCATCATCATTAACTAAAGCTAATCCCAATTAATTCTACGGTGTATCGAAGTACTTGTTGGAGCTTTCCTGGAAACGGTCGCTGCGCGCTAGTTCGTTTCGAAAGTAGGAGATGGTCCGCTGCAGTCCAGTTTCAAGGGGAACCTTTGGTTCCCATTGGAGATACTGCCGGGCACGCGTTATGTCCGGTTTTCTGCGCTGCGGGTCGTCTTCCATGGCTTTCGTTTGCTTTATCACACTGGGCCCGCCGACCAGTTGCTTGATGATCTCGGCAAATTCGCCGATAGTCTGCTCCACAGGATTGCCCAAATTCACCGGCTGTGTGAAGTTGGATCCCATTAAGGCTATCATTCCATCCACCAGATCCGAAACGTACTGAAAGGAGCGGGTTTGCTTGCCATTTCCATACACCGTGATGGTTTCATTTCTAAGCGCCTGGAGTATAAAGTTGGACACCACACGTCCATCGTTCATGTGCATCCTGGGTCCGTAAGTGTTAAAGATGCGCGCCACGCGCACTTGAACCTTTTCCTAACGATACAGATACCAGACAAAATCAATTAGTATGAAAGTCAGATTCCCGGCAGAGATCGAGAAATGTGGAAATCTTATCTCGTGACAAGCAGCGAAGCAGAACACCAATTAATGGCATTCCAATTGAGATCATTTAATGACCAGCTACCGATCGAATCAAGAAAGATCTGCTATATTTCTGTTTTCCTTTTAAGGAATGTGGTTTTCGGTTCGCTATTTAAATTTTTTTAATTTTGGAAATATTATTTGAATTAATACTTAAATCACGAAAATTACTGCAGTTTAAAAAATATTTGTAGTGTATCAAAAGACATTTTTTAATGAATTGCCTTTCTTCAACACGAAAAAAGTTATAATTTTTTTTTTTGTGACCATTAATCTTTTCTTTGTCTAAAATGGTAAATATTATTTAATCAACATTAGATATTGAATGTATAAGTTGTATTAACAAAGAGGTCTATTGTTTGATAAAAAAAAAGCAAATTAAATTTGAATTTTGTACGATTAGGAAAAGTCAGTCGAAAAGAAATTATTTTCGCACTGATAGCAATATCATACGAAACAAAGGCTAGGTATAAAAAAGTTTTTAATATAGATATGGATGAGGGGTTCACCTGTTTGGCATACGCATAGCTCAGAGTCTCGGAGACGCGCTTTCCCTCGTCGTAGCAAGCCCTTGGTCCGATGGGATTCACATGGCCCCAGTAGGTCTCAGGTTGCGGATGCACCGTGGGATCTCCGTAAACCTCCGAAGTGCTTGCTATCAGAACTTTTGCCATCACACGCTTGGCCAGTCCTTTTTAAAAAGTTGAATTAATCAAAAAAAAAATTCAACTATATCTTATTAAAAATACTACCCACCCAGCACATTGATGGTACCCATGGTGTTGGTCTTGATGGTCTTAACCGGATTGTACATGTAGTGCGGGGGCGAGGCTGGCGAAGCCAGGTGGTAAATCTCATCAATCTCTATGAACAGAGGATTTACAATGTCGTGGTGGATGAGCTCGAAGTTTTCGTGTCCCAGCCAGTGCTCCACATTCCGCTTGCGTCCCGTGAAGAAGTTGTCCACCACGATGACTTCGTGACCCTGGACCATCAAGTCGTCCACCAGGTGGGAGCCCACGAAGCCTGCTCCTCCAGTGATCAGGATGCGTTTGCGGTTCTTGTAGTTGAGGTACTTAACCTTCCGGTACTTTCGCGGTGTACTGGTCTGCAGACTACGAATCTGCTCCTCCAACTGGGCAAGCTGCTCCCTAGTGCGCTGCAGTTCGGCCTTTTGCTCGCGGATCAGTAAATTTTGCTCTTCGTAGGCCATCTGAAGGCTTCTCTGCAGAGGGCTCTCCGTGGGTGGCCAGCGGGCCTGAACCTCCTCGCCGGCGGAAATGGAGGACATCCCGCCCGCCGAAACGCTGATCGCCCGGTATAGGTAGACCAGGAACAGGATGACCAGCAAGGCGGCCGCCACAATCTTCAGGCGCTTCTTGGTGGCCGTCATTGTCGTCGGGTGGCGGAGGCGGATGTGGATTTGGAGGTTGTGTGTTGCAGGGTCCCAGTGCTTATCAGCAACTGATATCGCCACATTGCATTCTTGTTCGGCTAAGCTATTGCAACTATATAAACAATACGGCAACCAGAGTGGCCAGTTGGCGTTAACTAAATCCCAACAGCTATTTTAGTCTATCGCCAATAAACTTTTAACAAAGCTCGCGCCCTATATTAAAATAACGGAAAAATAACTATATAACAAATAATCTAATCACTTAATAACTAAGAGCTTCATTAAATCATTTAAGGATAAGCTAACTGACCTAAGTGCTTAACAATTTTGAAACATTTATTTATTTATTAAAGGTGGCAATTTAAACAAATGTTTACATAAATTACATTTGCTTTTAATAAAATTCGAACATTTTAACAAAGTTTGCGCCTCATTAAAATAACAGAAAAATAACTATATAACAAATAATCTAATCACTTAATGACTAAGAGCTTCATTAAAGCATTTAAGGATTAGCTAACTGACCTAAATTCTTAACAATTTTGAAACATTTATTTATTTATTAAAGGTGGCAATTTAAACAAATATTTACATAAATTACATTTGGTTTTAATAAAATTCGAATTTTATATTCAGTCTATTTTAAATTTTGTAGCCATCTTTGCAAGCCAATTTAATTAAAATGAACTTATCTTGCTGTTCTTCAATTTAAAAGTAATATGTCGTAAATGCCATTTAAAATGGGCGGGCGTAAGATGCACACTCCTCAAAATCATGAAAAATACAACTTCTTAGTAAATAGCTTTTGCAGTTTTGATTCCTTATTGCTGACATTTTAAATAATAATGTTAACAAATTAACCGGTTCGCATTTAACCCGGTACCCGGTGCGAGCTTTCAGCTTTGACTGCCGTCGGGCACACTGCTTTTTGAGTCAGCTGCTTATAGTTTTGCGATTTCATTGCAATTATAATTTGCCAAGCTATTTAAACAGAAATACTGTGCGGACCATGCCGAACGAAAATGCGGACGACCAGGCCGGCCAGGAGCTAAAGCAGAAGGTCAAGGAGGTGGCTGTCGCCTCGGAGGAAATGCTCGAGAAGGTTGTTGCCGGCTTAAAGATCCAGGATACGGGAACGTCGAATATAGCCGGAAATGAGGATTCGGAGCAGGCGGATGGAGCCAAGAATGCGGCTTCAGTGTCCGCGGATGCAAGTAAGTGTACCGAACGGCAGAAAAAGCCTTTTTTGAGGCACCTCCTTGGGGCTGGCAAATGAGGTTAGGTTCGGTCGGGGACTACAGTCAAACGACTTTAACTTGAACTTAACTTGAAGTAAGAGAAATAGTGATTTGTTTCAATTTTTTAAACTTTTACAACCGTTTATTTTACAACAACAATAATTGGAAGATAAGCTTGTGCCAAACAATGAATAAGTAATGAATCATAAATTCTTTTTTTTTTAACATCACTGAATCGTTCTATAAAGTTTGTAATATTGCTTACTGTAAGCTCATCTACAAACATCTGCTTTAAGAACAAAATAAGAATGCTGATAGATTTTGTAAGATAACATCTAATTATAAATAAGTTTTAAAAATGACCGAAGACAATAAACTAAACTAAAATTTACCTTTCGGAAAATAAACAGTCAACCTTCGTTGATTTCATGATATCATGTTTGGTAAATGTGTAAACACCCCAATTTGGGGTGTAAGACAGCAGGCTATGCTTGTTAAACTAGTTTACTGTCATTTCCCCTTATATTTTTCATTCGACACATTTCATTTAAGTGACAACAATTCGAGGGTAATATAACTATTTATTGGGAAGGGTTAGCAAGTTTAATAGTTTATTAAAATCGATACTTCCTCCGTTTCTTTTTCAGGCAAGCAGGCCTTGCTACAGGCCGTATCCGATGCGATGGCCAGCACCCGCCAGATGGCCAAGAAGTTTGCCTTCTGGTCCACACAGCCGGTCACAAAGCTGGACGAGCAGGTGACCACCAACGAGTGCATCGAACCGAACAAGGAGGTCAGTGAGATCCGGGCGGAGCCATACACTCTGCCCGGTGGCTTCAAGTGGGTGACTCTTGACCTGACCGATGCCAACGACCTCAAGGAGCTGTACACGCTCCTTAATGAGAACTACGTGGAGGACGATGATGCCATGTTTCGGTTCGACTACCAGCCGGAATTCCTCAAGTGGTCGCTCCAGCCCCCGGGTTGGAAACGTGACTGGCATGTGGGCGTGCGGGTGGAGAAGTCCGGCAAACTGGTGGGCTTCATTTCGGCTATTCCCAGCAAGCTGAAGTCTTCCGACAAGGTGCTTAAGGTAGTAGACATCAACTTCTTGTGCGTTCACAAGAAGTTGCGCAGCAAGCGGGTGGCTCCAGTGCTGATCCGTGAAATCACACGTCGCGTCAATTTGACGGGGATATTTCAGGCGGCCTACACGGCTGGTGTGGTGCTGCCCACGCCGGTGGCCACCTGTCGCTATTGGCACCGCTCCCTCAATCCCAAAAAGTTGGTGGACGTGCGTTTCTCGCATCTGGCCCGCAACATGACCATGCAGCGCACCATGAAGCTGTACAAACTGCCTGATCAGCCCAAGACAAAGGGCTATCGCCGGATCACGGCCAAGGACATGGACAAGGCCCACAAGTTGTTGGAGGACTATTTGAAGAGGTTTAAGCTGAGCCCGGTTTTTAGCAAGGAAGAGTTCCGCCATTGGTTTACCCCCAAGGAAGGCATCATTGACTGCTTCGTGGTGGCCGACGAGAAGGGCAACATCACTGATCTGACCAGCTACTACTGCCTGCCCTCGTCGGTGATGCACCATCCGGTGCACAAGACCGTGCGCGCCGCCTATTCCTTTTACAATGTGTCCACGAAGACGCCCTGGCTGGACCTGATGAACGATGCACTGATCTCAGCCCGCAATGTCCAGATGGACGTGTATAATGCCCTCGATCTAATGGAGAACAAGAAGTACTTTGCGCCGCTGAAGTTCGGTGCCGGGGATGGCAACCTGCAGTACTACCTGTACAACTGGCGCTGTCCATCGATGCAGCCGGAGGAGATTGCCCTGATACTCATGTAGTCACCTCAACGCCTATGTTTACATTCTCGCCCTGCCTTTCGCCGCTCTCCCCCCTCCGCTTTGTCCACCCCGCTGGAAGTCCTGTGCGGCTGCTTTGCTTGGCTCCTATCCATATCCATGTAGCTATTACCTTTATCTTCAGTTATTCCAGCGAGGGAAACCCATTGCGAGTCACTTACCCAGCATTATTGTGAGAACTGCATTTTGCAACGGCCAAGCTTGGATATTTTTTACTACAGAAAACAAAACGAACACAAACTGAATAAAATGCGCAGCAATATCTATAGAATTTTGATGTGTATTGAATGCTGGTTTCCGGTTGAGCTTATAGCTGACATTCACTGTATTTTGGTCAAAATATACGCCTACTAACAGTCCGACATAACTCTCAGTTCTGCGAAAAATCGCTCAAATCTCAGTTCAAAATCTTGAAACAGGAAAATTATTTTTTGATGTGGTTAAATATAAATTAAATTAAAACATCTAATAAAATTAGATTGAATAAAATCATGCAGAAAGTATTTATTGTATCTATTTTTACACAAGATAATATAAAACATATTTTTTTAAATAATCCTAGAAACCTATCAAAACCAAAAATTTTAAATAATGAAAAAGAAACATTACAGTTGACTTTATGACTTTATTTCGTAAATTAAAAAAAATTTAGTCTTTAAGAGCTATAATTTATACAATAGAATAATTAAAGCAATTTGTTTTCGAAGTAAAGCCGTTAAGCTATATTTACTGTATTTTAGAACGGTGTTTCCATGTGCGACAGTATGGCAACTCTCTTGTATCGGCATCGATCTGGCAAGGGCGACGAAAAAGCGCGCGCTCAGCGAAAACAGCTGCCATTGTGTTGGTTTATTAGTTGCTAAAATCTTGCTCCAAATGTTTGTTTATTAATATAAAAAACAATTTAAAACGTCCACCGATATGGACGATTCGGTGTTTAAGATTAAATACCAGAAATACAAGCTGCGTGTCAAGTTGTGGGAAAAGGATTTCAAGAAGAAGAATGGGAGGGTTCCATCGAAGGTGAGATTGGGATCTGGATAATACTATTGTTAAAATAAGCTAATTTCTTGATCTCTTGTGGCAGTATGATATTCGGGAGGCCAGCCAGGAGATTCGCGACTCCTACAAGATGTACTACAAACTGAAGACCTCATTCCTAGAGGAAACTCTGAACGATGTGCTCAGCGAGGATGGATACGATATCTTGGAGATGTCGCAGGCCAGTGATCTGGGTGTGAGCCTGCTAGATCAGGACATCAGTCTAAATGGAGGACCTCAACTACCGATGGATATATCCGCACTGGTGGAGCCACAGGTATCTGCCATTCTGGAGGAGATTCCGCAACAAGAACAAGGATCATTTTCTAATCTTCAGGACCTGCCCAATCGGCAAGTCCTCACCAATCTAGTTAATCGCGATGAGAACCATGTGATCCGTAAGTTCGAAGCTGTGGAGGAGCTGTCAATTAACCAGAATGCCTGGGGCAAGGAGGTCAGCAAGAAACAACCTGATCTGGTAAAACCCCTAGAGGCTTCTCTTTCCGCTCCGGCGCAGGGAAAGCCGCTTAAAACGACCGCTAGTCTTAAACCCAGCCTGAGTGCCAAGTTGTTCAAATCCACGAGCGGATTTGCCAAACGAAATCCCCGCAAGCCGCTGTCACACAGTTCCGTAAACGCCTCTAGTTCCAACAGTTCCCTCAGCTCGGTTTCTTCCACTCTGGTGGAAGAGCTGCCTGATTTCGAGACCATACTAATACGCAAGGCGCAGGAGTACAAGGAGAAGGAGCTGGCCCTAGCTTCTAATCCGCTTTTAGCCGGCGATCACAGTAAGGAGACCATCAAAACGCAGGTGGACGATGGCTGGCTGCAGCGAAATACAAATGAGAATACTCTTGAGGCGGAGATGCCCTTTGCAGAAGCAAATAATAATAGTGCTCCACCAAAGAAAATCAACTTTGGACTAAAAAATCTCGATTTAAGTAAACTAAAGTCCACTACTAAGGAGGAACAGCAGGTGCAGGTGAAGACCGAAACGGTAGCAACCACACAGCCGTTGCAATCTGTTAACAGTTTTATAATAAACCAGAAACCAGTTTCCCCTAGTCAGACACCCTCTGCATCCATTCAGAAACCACTTGCTCCCAGCCATAAACCTCGCCCTGTAGAGGAGGACACTGATTCCGATTCTGACTCTGTTGTGGCTGAAAGTGAGGAAGAGCCGGAGCCCCAGGAGTACCGACAGCTCGCCAAACGTCGCAGAATTATGCCAACCCCTGCAGGATCTTCCGAGGTAGCCGAAATAGCGGAAATAACCAACAAAGTCGAACCGGAACCTGAAGCGTTGACTCTCGCCGATCCAGAGGATGAATATGGAATGGATTTCTCTGCGGACGAAGAAACGGATGCAACCTATGAGCCCGAGAAGGGCAAGAAAGAGAAGGCAAAGCGCAAACAAGCAGCCGGAAAAAGGAAGACCACTAAACCTAAGGCGGAAGCTAAACCTAAAGCTGAAAAGAAACCCAAAATCAAAGCAGAAAAGAAACCCAAGGTGGAGAAGAAGCCAAGGAGCTCTAAGAAAGCTATTGCTGCCGAACCTCCTCCTGTTCCAGAAGAAGAGGATCAGAGTCAGCCTCTAAATCCGGAAGATCTTAAATACGTGTTGGCGTTGGAGGCAGGCGACATAACCTCCGTTCCTCGAATTAATCAGCAGGATCTGGAAAAAGCAGACGTCACTGCACAGCGCTATATTAGCACCTTTGCAGCAGGACCCATAACAGGAACAGCAGAGGGATCCAACATCCGAGTGGATGAAAAGCGATCCGCTGCCCGAAAAAAACTGGAGGAAAGAATAGCTTCTGGGAAGTTAAACGAAAACTTTGTGACTATCAACATCCAAAAGAAGAAATTTGTGCGCGGCAAAAAGACCGTGAATTTTAGCAAGTACAAGAAGACGCAGTGGCGGCATAAAAAGCGAGTGGCTGCCCTGAGTGGGCCAGGTATGGACATGGGTGGCTGTGATGGCGGAGTGCTCACCTGTTTCCAGTGCGGCGGCGTGGGCCATTTCGCCCAGCAGTGCAAGGTGAAGGGGGACAGCCTGTTGCCCTTATCTGCGCAGCTTGAGGAGGATCCCTCGCCATTCCCCACGCTCGCCGAGGCGCAGGAGATGGCCAGCCAGGGCGCAGTGGTGGCTCACAGTCGCAACATCTCAAGACTGCCCCAGGCGGCCAATGCGGCCATTCTGCAAGGTGAGGAATCAGATGAATCAGAGGAGGAAGTTCCAGACAGTAGCGGTGATGAGGACGGAAAACCGCATCCTGAGCCGGATTGGTCGAGCGATGATCCGGACATCGATTTTGAGGCACTGGATGCAGCCGTCGAAGCCTCTCTAAGTCAGCCGGTTAGCCAAGAGAAAGCAGCTTCGCCTATTAAAAGCTACGTTGGTCACAAAATTCCGGAGGAGTTCCTCAAGCAGGCTGGCCTGGACACCAACGTCGCCACTGCGAATCACAGCCGGCACGGCGGGGTGAAGCCACTCTACGATCTCCTGCCGGATGGAACTGTTCAGGACACGTCACCCGAAGTCCTGGAAGCGCTGCATATGTTCGGTCACAAAAACTTCAGGAAGGGTGAGACGAAGATTTTATTTGATTTCACTTTATTATTATAGTTTTAATTATTCCCACCAGGTCAGGATCGGGCCATCATGCGCACCCTTTCCGGCCTCTCTTCGCTGGTTACCCTCAGCACAGGCAGTGGCAAGTCTCTGTGCTACCAGTTGCCCGCCTATCTGTTTAGCCGCAAATTGGGAGCCATTACGCTGGTCATCTCGCCGCTGGTATCGCTTATGGAGGACCAGGTGACCGGGGTGCCGCACTTCCTGCGCGCCCACTGTCTGCACACCAATCAGACGGGGCCGCAACGCATTAAGATTCAGCAGATGATTGCCAACGGTGAAATTGATATTCTGCTGGTTTCTCCGGAGGCAGTGGTTTCCGGGGAGCGGGCCACGGGATTCGGTGCCATTCTTCGCCAGCTGCCGCCCATTGCATTTGCCTGCATTGATGAGGCGCATTGCGTGTCCCAGTGGAGTCACAACTTCCGTCCCAGCTACCTGATGATCTGCAAGGTGCTGCGAAAGAATCTCGGGGTTCACACGGTGCTGGGACTTACGGCCACCGCTACGTTGCCCACGAGGGTGAGCATCATCAACCATCTGGGCATCGCGGACGGGGAGCGCGGCGTTATTAGCGACATACCCTTGCCAGACAATTTGGTGCTGTCCGTGTCCAAGGATCACAACCGAGATGCAGCGCTGCTCCAACTACTTAATAGCGAACGGTAGTGAATATTTTAACCCATCAGAGTCACGATCATTAACTTTTTCCGATCGTTTCAGCTTTGAGCCCTGCCAATCCATCATCATCTACTGCACTCGCAGAGACGAGTGTGAGCGAATCGCTGGATTCATTAGAACCTGCGTGCAGGATCGGCGTCAGCCAGCCCAGGATCAGGGCAAGAAGCGCAAGCGGGTGAACTGGCAGGCGGAGCCATACCATGCCGGAATGCCGGCTTCGAGGCGTCGCACTGTCCAGAAGGCCTTTATGGGCAACGAGCTACGCATCGTGGTGGCCACCATCGCCTTCGGCATGGGCATCAACAAGCCGGACATTCGCGCCGTGATCCATTACAACATGCCAAGGAATTTCGAGAGCTATGTGCAGGAGATTGGACGAGCAGGTCGCGATGGCTTGCCGTCTCACTGTCATCTCTTCTTGGATGCGAAGGGTGGCGATCAGAGTGAGTTGCGTCGACATGTGTACTCCAACTCCATCGATCGGCATGTGATCCGCAAGCTGCTGCAGAAGATTTTTGTGCCGTGCAGCTGCGACAAGGAGGCTTCCAAGGGAGCTGCTCCTCCAATGGCCCTTGAAGGCGATGGTCCGAGGGTTCATGTGTGTCCGGGTCACGAAATCGGCTTCTCTGTAGAGAAAACTGTTGAGATGCTGGACATCCCGGCGGAGAACATTTCCACGCTGCTCTGCTACATGGAGCTCGATCCCCGCTGGTGCATCAGTGTGCTCAGCTCAGCATACGTGATGGCCAAAGTGATCTCATACGGTGGACCCAAGTACCTGAAGTGAGTTCAAAAGTTATTAAACGTTTTTAGTAATATGGTTATTTCGTACTTTACTTTTAATGCCTTTATGAAAATGCTTAAGTAGAACATGGTATTTTCCCTGCTAATTCTGTTCCTTCCATTCACAGGCACGCAGCAAAGGAATGCCCACCCTTGGCCATGGCCATTGCTTTGCAGATTCGCGACAAGACCTTCAAGGAGGACTCGAACATCATAGAGTTTTCTGTGACAGACATTGCAGCAGGAATTGGTTGGAACAGCGGCGTGGTAAAGTACCAACTTAAGGACCTGGAGTGGGTGAAAGGTGAGTTGGTACCCCGTTCCTTAAGATCTTTTTAGTTTCTTAACCACCATCCCTCAATAGTAAATGGATTTCCGAAGCGATCGCCCATCACGGTGAGCTTCTATGATTTGGGATTCCGCATCAAGGTCCCCGGTGATTTTACAGAAACGGAAATCGACAGTGCTCTGGACACGCTCTATACGCGATCAGTGAAACAGGAGCGCACTCAGCTAATCCAGCTGCAGTATGTTGCCCACGGATTGGCGGCGGTGGCCTACAGTTCCTGTGGTCAGTGCTGCAATGCGGACTTTCCTCAAGATAGGGGCGAGCAATTAAAGGCTATCGTGCGCAACTACTTTGCCAATGACTACCCGCAGGACTTGGAGTTAGAAGTGGAGGTAATTTCTTGCCACCACATGTTACAAAATATTTATTTGACGTTAACTTCCATATTACTTTTGTCTTTCAGCCCAGCAATGTGCCCGATGAGAGCATCACAGACGACGTGCACGCCCTGATCAACATGTATCCGGACAACACATTCAGTGGACGGAACATTGCCCGCATCTTCCACGGCATCATGAGCCCCAACTATCCGGCCGTCATTTGGGGACGCTGTAAGTTCTGGCGTGCCCACGTCAAGGTCGATTTCAATCGCATCCTGCAACTTGCGAACATGGCTATCATTAAGAGGCGTACCTAGCCATGATCATTGGAAAATTCTCTTTGTGATGCACCGGTAAACTTGTTCAATCTTGATGAATTTAAAAATATGTGATGCCATTCAATAACATTTGTTGCTTTTATTCTTTTAAGTCTGATAATAATAATAAAAACTTTAGTTATTAACCATGTTCTGTTGATGCTGAGCTTAAATAAGTTCTGGCAATGCTTGAAGAGCTGAAAAGTTATTTGAATAGAATTTCAGTTCTGTTATTTTTCTTATTTAATTAGTATATGTATTAAATTGTTTTACCCATTTACCCTAAAAGTAGTGAGCAGTAAGCCAATTGGTCCAATCGTTCTTTATTTTGCTCAGCTATGGCGGGCATTATCGTTAACACTGGATATATACCGAGAAAATTAGTCTTTACATATATATATTTGGAGGTTTTAACGGCTATGGATCTAAATGAGGAGTAGAGTAATGCTCCCTTATTTCTTCTTAATACTATTACCGAAATTAAGCCGCTAAAAAATTAAACGGGATTGCGTCCATGCTTTTATGTTATGGGCCTTTTATGTGACAGTCCGCTATAAAGATTGTTTCGGACCTATTAGCTATAGTCAGTTAAATCGTAAAAGCTTGCTATAATTGTTTCGGATATATCAGCTTTTTGTTAGCTTTTAGCTTTTATCCTGCCAATAATATTATAGCAACAAAAACCAAGTTTCGCTTCTACAGATGTTTGGGAGCGCCATTTTCACATAAGTGGCCGTGGCGGAAAGCTAACAAGGACTTTAAGCTGAGACACTTTTCCTTGCAGTGGTCTAAAAGGACAAGATGTAACTGTAGCCTAGTGTAGCAATGCTGACAGAATATATCAATATGTCAATTTCGAATCAATCAGGCCGCAGACGATATTTATATCTATATTTATGAAATATTATAATATTTATTATTTTATATTTGATACATCTATTTAAATCGAAAAATGACCAATTATTATACCCTTGCAGAGGGTTTATAATTTTGGTCAAAGTGTGCAACGCAGTGAAGGAGACATCTCCGACCATATAAAGTATATATATTCTTGATCAGGATCACCTCCTGAGTTGATATAAGCATGTCCGTCTGTCCGTCTGTCTGTTTCTACGCAAACTAGTCTCTCAGTTAGTAAAGCTATCGAATTGAAACTTTGCACACACCCTTCTTTCCTTTGCACGCAGTATATATGTCGGAACGGCCGGGATCGGCCAACTATATCCTATAGCTGTCATATAACTGATTGATCGGAAATGCCATAACTTTGGTGTTTGTAAAGTTAGGAAGTTAGGATTTTCTATGGGTTTTATATTTGGCCAATCAATCCGACCTACCACATAATAAGGATCGGCCGACTATATCCTATAGCTGCCATATAACTGAACGATTGGAAATGCCATAACTTTGGTGTTTTTAAAGTTAGGAAGTTGGGATTTTTTATGAGTATTAAAAATGCATCATATGAATAATTTTGGAGAATATAATTTACAGAGTATTCTGCAAGGGTATATCAACTTCGGCTCCGCCCGGAGTTAGCTTTCCTTTCTTGTTTTTATTTTAAAACAAAATAATTTTCGGGTTAATTCAATAAAATAGATAAAGTTGTTTCTGATTTTGGATGCTTTATAGGATGCCCTCAACTGGTTTTATTCAAAACTCGGTGCAAGGCCTTTGTCAAAAAGAAAATGATACGGTGTCTAAGCAGCTATTCGCGTACATTCGTTGATAGGAATCAGTAAAGTAAGGATCTGTGCTGGTCCGAAATACCTTTAATGCGATCATGTTCATAAGTTTAACAACAAGAGACGCCGAAGAGATAAATAATTTTAATTAGCCCTATTAACTATGAACTAACCAAGCATTATACTATACTCTTGCCGTATGCCAATTGTGTTACCTATTGAAAACTCTATAGAGTTTCTGCGGATGGTAAAATTCTATTTGTGCTCCTTGTCTTTTGTCGATAAGCTTTCCTTCCCAGCTATTATTTCTACTCATATACAAAATTTGTATACTTTATATAATATAAAATATTCATGCTTAAACTTATGATGGATAGGTAAGTTCTTTATTATTTATTAATTTATTATTTTCTTTTTCTTGTTTTGGGTGTAAATAACAAGAAGAAGTGTTATTAATGAAAACTTATATTCATATTTTATGTAAGTTGCACAGCAAAAACTTCCTTCCCACAGTTATCAATTAAAAGTATTTTCTTTTCAGTCTCAACAAATGCGTTTTTAAACAAAAGGCAAAGCTGGCAGTTGCCCTTTAGGCCTTACCTTTATCCTATTTTCATTTATTTATGGTTATGAATAACGATTTTATGCTGTCGAAAAGGTCAAAGGGTCAACGGCAATCAATTTCAATTGCCCTTTTATTGTATGTGCCATAAACATTGTTGGTCGGCCTTTGTGATTCACCCCAACTTCTTTTGACACCTGCGTCCTTTTAATTTTGCAGATTCCTTAAGGATTTACCCAACTCTGAACTGCCTTCCCTTTCTTATCAAAAGTGCAGCATTTTGACAAACAAATAAACACATAAATAAAATAAAGATGAAAAGGATTATATTTGAGCATCGGACAAAGTAAATGGCGAAAAGTAAGAAATTGAATATCTGGAAAGCGAAGAGGAAAATCGAGAGCAAAAGAAAAACTTCTGCAAATATAATTGTAATGAGCAAGAAACTTTGGCCAGTGAGCCGAGCCTAGTCGGAAGTATTGTGGTCCTCAGCCCTTCTGTTTCTTTCCTTGGACTGTCGTTAAAGTTAAATGGTCTGTGTGATTGCCCCTGGGAGTGGGTGGAGGGGGTGGGCACTCCGCCCCAAGGTCGTAATGAAAGCAGACAAACCCAATCAGGCAGCATCGGTTACAGATTGCATTTCCCTTAGATGATTTCCTTCTTAATTTTGTTCCTCGAGTTTTCAATCTTTTTCTCTGCGCAATTTCCCAAGAGTTGACAGTTTAAAAACGCAAAGAAAATCAGTGAAAGTGGAAATACAAATAAAACTAATAAAAAGGAAATCAAAATATTGGCGAAATTTTAGTAGAAATCAAATTCATAATGTTCAGATACGAAAACATCATTTAGCATCTTTGTTTCAAATTTAAATTATACGATTTTTCGTTATAATTAATCCTTCATAATTCAAATTTAATTTTCAATAATTTGCCTAATTCGGTAAACAATTTTTATACCCTTGCAGAGGGTATTATAATTTTGGTCAAAAGTGTGCAACGCAGTGAAGGAGACATCTCCGACCATATAAAGTATATATATTCTTGATCAGGATCACCTCCTGAGTTGATATAGCCATGTCCGTCTGTCCGTCTGTCCGTCTGTCCGTCTGTCTGTCCGTCTGTCCGTCTGTCTGTTTCTACGCAAACTAGTCTCTCAGTTTTAAAGCTATCGAATTGAAACTTTGCACACACCCTTCTTTCCTTTGCACGCAGTATATAAGTCGGAACGGCCGGGATCGGCCGACTATATCCTATAGCTGCCATATAACTGATTGATCGGAAATGCCATAACTTTGGTGTTTGTAAAGTTAGGAAGCTGGGATTTACTATGGGTTTTATATTTGGCCAATCAATATCCTATAGCTGCCATATAACTGATTGATCGGAAATGCCATAACTTTTGTGTTTGTAAAGTTAGGAAGCTGGGATTTCCTATGGGTTTTATATTTGGCCAATCAATCCGACCTACCAAATTTCATAGAATCGGCCGACTATATTCTATAGCTGCCATATAACTGATTGATCGGAAATGCCATAACTTGTGTTTTTTTTAAGTTAGAAAGTTGGGATTTTTTATGAGTATTAAGAATGCATCATATGAATAATTTTGGAGAATATAATTTACAGAGTATTCTGCAAGGGTATATCAACTTCGGCTCCGCCCGAAGTTAGCTTTCCTTTCTTGTTATTTATAAAATACATTTTTATATTAACCAAAATAAAAAGGATTCGAACAATTTTAAAATGGAATGTATTCATATAAATATATATTACAAAATTATGTTTCTTAAGATTACAAATTAAGTCAGAGCATTTATTATTAATTAATATATTTGTTTCATCTAGTACAAGTCACATTTTTAGAACAGAACAAGCTATTTACTTCAATGTTTTGTAAGCAAATTGTGAAATTTTTTCGTCCGAATCGTATTTATCGTCGTTCTCGTGTGAAAGTATTTAATTGTGAAAATAACAATTTTCATTCGTGTTCAACGTTTGAGATAAGAAGTTAATATGGCCCGTACCAAGCAGACCGCCCGTAAATCGACCGGAGGAAAGGCTCCCCGCAAGCAGTTGGCCACGAAGGCCGCCCGCAAGTCGGCGCCATCAAATAACACCGGTGGAGTGAAGAAGCCCCATCGTTATCGTCCCGGAACCGTGGTTCTTCTTGAGATCCGACGTTACCAGAAGTCGACTGAGCTGCTCATCCGCATGCTCCCCTTCCAGCGCCTGGTGCGTGAAATCGCCCAGGATTTCAAGACTGATTCCAGTCGGCGGCCATCGGAGCCCTGCAGGAAGCTTCTGAGGCGTATTTGGTGGGTCTCTTCGAAGATACCAACTTGTGCGCCATCCTCGCCAAGCGCGTGACCATTATGCCCAAGGACATGCAATGGCGCGCCGCATCCGTGGCGAGCGTGCTTAAGCAGGATCACAAGGAGCAGAAGGATCACTGTAGGAAAGGACCATCAGCGACACTTTGATCCACTCTTTTATTAAAATTTTCGTTTATCATCCTTTGTTCAGTTGTCGGACCGTCAGATGTTAGAAACAACACCACACCTAAAACACACATTACTTTAATGCTAAACATATTTGTAACTCTTATTATTACTATTTTATATTACTTATTAAATTCTTTTTCACGTCTGCGTCGACGGTTGAAATGTCCTGGAACCGCAATACTTTCCCCGATTCCGGATCCATCTTTCAAAGGGGTTCCCCTGGGCGGCCGTTTTTGCCTGTCCGGCGACGTATCCCGGATCCTTGAAGAAACGGAGAGGGCGTGGCAATCAGGCGAACAACCCGAAAACGCATGGCATTTTAACATATGAAAATGAT